TTGTATTTTCTCTGGCAATTCTCGCTATTGTTGTTCTCAATGCTGTTTGACTCGATACAGAATGCCACTTTTTGCCATGCTATTAAATACACTATTATCGAAGCCGTTGTAGCACATTTGCTACGATTACTCGAGTTGTGCAAAGGCTGTGGCCGCTCGCTCACAGAATAAATCTTACCCGTCTCAAAAATGTTTGAGGTTTATAAGGAGTATTTCTTAAAGCAAATGTAATTTGTCTCTAATGAAGACTCCGTCTGTCTATGGGAAGACTATTCGAGCTTTGATCAATCTGGCGAATCTGAGCATTTCGGTGTTTTGATCTGAATATCGACAGAATTAAACACGACGCTCGTTCCGCAGTCCTGCTAAGGTAATTACTAGCTTAATTATAACCCTTTGATTCTATTGTGTTTTCTTGTGCATTTCAATAGATACACAGCAGTAGTATGTACTTTCTCGTAGAATAATGCTCTGCCGCTTTTTGTGATATTTTCATGACGTTAGTCGGTTGCACACAACTCACATTCACGTACACGTACGTGAAAATCTTTTTGCATTTTTGCACGTTTTGTGGCGGCATTTCGCCGCGAACCTGCTATCCAACAAATGTCTCCACAGAGACCTACTTGTTAGGCTTAGCTCACAGGTACCCGCTAAGCAACTGGTATACCTCTGTATGAATATTCCACTTAACAGTCCCGTTCGTGGCGAGATTTACTGATTTATCATAATGCTATTGCATTTGAATTTAGAATAAACGTTACGGGATATATCATTCGTTATTTCTGAGAATATGATTAGTTTTTTCAACTAACAATAAACAATAGCAATTTCCGATAGCCGCCGATTGCCTTCCGGTAATTGACCTTTAGTAAGCCTCCAGCGGCAAGATTTCAGCACTTAGAAAATTAATTAAATGCAGACAAAATAGCAGTTTCAAGTGAAAACGGTAGATGTCTTTTAACTCTGTACGAATGATTACACAAAAACGAACGGCTTCCTTATGTTTCCGTTGAGTCAGTGGTAATCTGAATATTTTTACAGGCTCTATGCTTCCTCGGAGTTGATTGTCTTACGCTTATTGAGGCTCCCATTTAACACGAGCGCATCCTGCACATAGCGTGGTTCACCATCGGAAGCTTTCCGCGTCGTTCTAATTCTTTCGTGTTCTCTAGTAATGCGCCTTTGTTAGCTGCAAGCTTGCTCGAGCGAGCGCACGCCTCTTAGTATGCGCTAGTTTCGCTCCCTAAACGAACGCCATGCAAAAATAAAGGAGGGCAAACATACATGTCGAGGAGTCGACGCCAGATGCGCGTGTGCAATTCTTGCCCTGCATACATAGACACACACACACACATAACTTTCAAATAGGTCGCAAATTTTTGGCTTGTACAGAAAGGTGCAATAGCTGTCTATGTGTAGGTGGCTGACAGGTCCGTGTGTGCGCCTTGTTGCCTACGTGAGTGCGATGAAGCGGCCTGTTAGCATCTCCATCTCTGTAAAGAAGCTTTTCCAACGCTTCCGAGGGCAATTGACCCATTTAGCCTTCAAACGAGCTCCTTCGTCTGCGCCCGTCACACTTGGATCAGCGCTAATCAACACAAGTACATCTTTGCAGGGTTTTGATAGCGGTACGTCTGCTGCAGTATGTCGCAGCGGAGCTGCATCAGACTTGCAGAAAGGGCCTGGTAATGAGGCTAATAGACCCATAAGGTGTTACACCTAAAAATACTATATTTACAAATAGGCATGTGTATAGCTTATAATACACATACATACATACACGATCCACATTGCTAACTTTATAGCACATAGCACGGAAAACTCATCAGGTGGATCACATATTTTTACGAATAGCGACCGGTGGTATTACACAAGCGGTCTTGTGGCTGATTCAATATTACGCTACCATCGATAGGCTCGCTTCCGATTACCAGATGGAGGTCTGGAGACATGAGCTAATTCTAACTCAGAGAGCGCGAATGTCCCTTCTTGCATAGAACATACTACACCCGCGGGTAGAAAACGATTTAATTTGATGGTATTGTAAACCACTACTTCGGTTTGATGGCACAGACATTTAATATGCATTGTGGCACATGCTGTGTATGATAAACAACGCAGTTGCATGTCTTGTTGCACAAAAATAGTACTGAAGATCCGCGTGCTGAAAAAATAGGTCCCAGTCCTTATGGACAGAGCTTATAAGATGAAAGGTACCCGGTAATCGATTTTATCTCATTTTCTCTCTTGCTAACCCCTTCCCTCACCGTGTTTCTCCATGCTATAGAAGCGGTTTTCTTGTTGGTTAGATATCATCATTTTTCTTTTTCCAGATATATTGCTTTTCTCCATTCGAAATGATCTTTTCTTCCCAAGGCCAAGATTAATGCCTCTATTTGTGCGAGTCGGAGCAAGTGGATTTTTTCGATGTGTTGCTTTTTGTGCCTGTCTAGGCTGCTATTCGTTCCCTGACAAGAGAAGTGCGCAGTTCTCGTTTCAGGATGCAGCCAGGAGTGAAATTGGTTGGCTATAGAAGAAAATGGATATATGTTAGCCGAGCCGGCTCTTATCACCACGAGATGGACGATGGTAAGGGATGTTCATGGGTACGAGAGGAGACAACTTGGTGGGAACACATAATGAGGGCGAAGTGGTGACAAGCTTTTGTTCTGAGGTGTCATCCGCCTACTAGTCAATGAGGCAGAAAGTAGACGAAAGGCACAATCGATTCCTGGTGTCAGGATAACAGGCTCGTGTCGTCTATCGGCCAACAATTGCCAATTACCACTTGCTACACAAGTGGCAAAAAAGTTTTGTACGACACAGGAACAGAGACACGGTAGGTTGGCTGAGATATAGGAAAAAAGATTCTATTTGAGGAGCCCCGATCCTATTGGATCCTATACGGTCTATTGCCCTTCACATAGATGGTATAGAGAGCAAGATGATGGTGGATGTGTTCGATGAACCTTATAATACCAGCGTAGGTGGATTATTGAATGACCATGTATCAATTTACCTGTGACGCACAGCTGTCTCACCAACCAAATGTTTCAATAGTAACCACTTATCATCCGGCAACGTAGTGAATGCCTATCTGCAAAAGGCCTTTACAACTGGAGACCTCTTCGGAGCACCTAGTTTGGCGGAGCGATTATTTTAGCTCTCATGTTATACCTAACCTGTAGATAGACGATGTATGTTCTTGGTACGAATAATAAAATAAGACTCTGAGCTTTCTATATAATTAGCTTATCCTCCTATAATTAATGTCGTCACGATGCATTATTTGCATCCCTAGGACCGGTTTCACTATTCAGCTCGCTTTTTTTCGACTCCATCTGATTTAAGGACAAAGCGAATAGCATTCGTTTAATTCAAGTCGGGATAACATATTCAATAGATCTAATTTCAGCTGATTTAGGCTATTTTTGGTAAAAAATACCTGCCCAACATTTCCATGGCTTTGCCGTCGGCAAGATCTCTCAACAAAGCAGGTCGTGGTACTAGCACACAAAACACTGTGAGGATCCTCCAATAGTCTAATAGCAACTAAACGAACCTTTCTAACGTTAATTTTATTATTATTAGGTCGTACCAAGACCACGTGGCTGCCACAACCTTCGACTTTTGTGTTAAAAACAGCGTCCGTCAGCTTTGGTCCATGAACATCTAGACCCATGTACTTCCTGTACTCGACCCACCTTTGATGTACACAGTGGACCTCAATGTCGCTTAACGTTATGCTGCTTCTTTTCGCAATCTAACGTAAAGCGAATTGAAACTCGCTTGGCCTGAAACAGGGTTCGAACTCGCTGTCGTTCTTGCATGACCCTGTCAGGCCAGCGCGGCTTTGTGACATTAGGTTTGTTAAACCAGCACAGTTTTCCGAATGCAACTCCTTGATCATTCAGTAAGTTTCAGTTTACGTAAGTTTACTGTGAAATTTGAAGCTGTGTTCTCCATTACTTAACGGATCACATACTTCAGCACTTGCATAATCTTTCCTCGATTATTGGATTACTCTGATTTAGATATTCAATGATTAATGATACTACCCCCATTGCCTTACGAGTCTATTAAAAAAACCCTAGACAGTCCATCAACAAGCTTTTGACAAACGCAATATCGAAAATTTATCTTAAAGACTTGTCAACACGGGAAGGCGGCTGGAGTTATGCAGCTTTTCCACGATAGTGTTTCAGTCATCCTGTAAGTCTATAGCATGTTTCCGATCACTTGCGCTAATCGTCTGGTGCTTCTGTAGCCGCCGCTATGGCTCTGTTGAGCCCTTACTCCTGTTCGGCTACCCCGTTACCTCTAGGTAAAATTAATTGAGACTTTAACGATTCCATGTCAATACTATATTACGCCGCTTGAAAAATCTAGCAAGCAGGAAGAGAGCGTTAATTTTAGAAAATTTTTAACTGTCTTCTAAAAACTATGGTCACTATGGTCTATTCGATTTTTTAATTCTATTTCATGTTTATTGTTTAAAAGACGAAACAACTTTGGCCGTTAAATCATTCGCAAATTTTCAACTGTTGTCGAGAGAATGGCCAAAAACATAATTTTTTTTCTCCCCAGTCTGCATTGGAATATATGTCAAGATTTTTTTAGGCATACCATTTTGATCTTAATGCTTTGTAACACAAAAAGCTTGAACAAAATATTATACTTAGTTTATTACAGATAGTCGACGCATGCATACAAACATGTGTACATATATAACCCCTCACCTATCCATGTACGAAGAGTATAGTATAATAATTATTACTATTATTATTAATATAACTATAATTAGTTTTTGCATCGCGCCTAATTAATTGGCTATACACACATTGTATTTACCAGTCGCTGAAGTACAGAACTCTCGCTCGACCTCATTATATGTGCACTTTTGAAAACTAATTAGAGCTATATACGCCATAGCGTTTACGTCGCTGCTGCCGCCGCATAGACGATTATGGCAAACATTATTTTTTGTTTGTACTTACCGAGTGTGCACCGAATAACAAAAAAAACGTTGGCCAGGAATGTCAATAATTGTACATAATGATGCCGGGTCCACGAATTTTCTACAACATTAAGTGCTTCTAGGCCGCTACCACCGATAGCGTTATCGGATCTAAGCACGGCATGCTTTATTGGCAGCGTTCCATCGTGTACTGATGCGGCTGCTTGTCCATTTCTCTTATCCTTACACTTCGTCCCACTTCCAGCTAGTAGAAGCAACGCGCTCATCCAGAGCCGAGGGGGTTGGCCTTCGAGACCCTCTTTCCCGAGTGTCGAATCGCTTGCTTTCCCATCTTCTTTGGATAGAGGAGAATGCGGGAAAGCGGTATTGCCAAGGCCGCTGAAGAGAACAGAAAGCGCAATGCTATTTGGCCATAGCGATGGCTCCCATTTTGAAGTCGCATTCCGGTAACCCCTTCGCAAACGTTCTCCCGCCACGAAGCCTGTACTTCACCGCACTTCGTACAGCGGCTATTTTCGCTAACATTCGTTCCGCCATATTATTGTTCCTACCGCAGCATAGGATACTACGATGTCCAAACGGGACGAAACCAATACAGTGTTTGGGAGTGGTATGGTCGAACAAATGCGTCCGGTCAAGTCAGTTTGGGGATGGCAAAGGCGGCAGTGACGCAGCGCTTCGGGAATTGCATTCTTGCGGCCGAGCAAGCCAAATGCCTGAATGGTCTCTGCTGTTCGTTCGAAATATAGCCGCATTACAATTGGGAGCTTCGAGCCGGATAAGCGGACTGCCGTAGGCAACAATGCGAAGAAACAAAGGTGTGAAACTTACCCACAAACACTGCGGGTGTATACTTTGATAAAAAAAGAAAAAGTAAATTGCAGATTAGCAGCTTGCAGTTCTTCTGGGTTGTGGAACTTCACCATCTCGCAAATACGCCTGGCCACATCCTTGCTGATTCATATAGTTAGAACCTACTTATACTTAAAATATATATGATGCAACAATTTTGTCTGTATAGAAAATCTGTATATTATAGTAAGTTCACTCAGCTATGCGAGCAAGTTTTCATAAGGTGTAGACCGAAATGGATAAGGTCGTATAAAAAAATGCATGTATTGCGTTCATCAGATGGGATGCTGTTTTCGTGCAAGTGTCACTTAAGCTTGACACAAAGGCTCGCCAAAAGTGGTAATTTTTTTTCTAAATTTCCGCAGAAAATCAGCAGATCAGCAAAAGTAAATCCACAATTCGTAACATATTCAAAATCTCTGGCGAAAACGTGGCTATATAAGGAGCACTACTGCTGCAAGCTCTAGCTTTGTAAATTATATAGTTTTTGTCTATTGATCGCAATTATATACGAGTGCGATAGCAGAGGCCCTTGAACCTTTCACGCTCGGTGACTAACATTTAACTGTTGTTGGCTGTGATAGATGTGCCCCAGATGTTTGGCTACGATATAGATTGTCAAGCTTTGGTTTCTGCTGCATAGCCTAAAAACTAAAAATCGCATTATGCTATCCTATAAATATAAAAGACTGTGCACTTGGTACCTTTGTTGCGATATGCTACTGTAACATTAAAAGGCAATTTTGTCGACAATAGAGCAAACATCAATGAACGTACGACAACGCATCCGAGGATAGCTCTCCCGCTCTCCATCGTACAGCACATGGTCATAACTCAGCTTACCAGGTGTTAGACTTTGGCAAACAAACACAACGCGTAATGTTGTGAATGTTTGGCATCAGCAATAAAAATACACAGACGTTCATTTAAGGTCGTGTATTCAAATATTAACAGCATTCCTGTTTTGCGTTTTCCTCTATTTCAGCGCGGCTGCGATATGTACATGAAGTATGTACTACGTGTGCGTCAATGAGCGCAAAGCGTGGATGCCGCCTTAGCCACTGCCGCAGTGTTACTTGTTGTCGTATGTACGCATGCTACGAGATGTGCCGTCTGCCTTTGTTCGGACCGTTCCTTTCACGTATCTTGTCTATCTTGCTCTACAAGGTTAGAGTAGCTCGATTTTTCCCCAGATGCCCACTCCCTCGCTCTATTTAAGCTGGGGCATAGCAAAGGAACTGTCTCGTCTTCTGGCTACGCGTATGCGTGCAAAACGTTAACAAGCGGGTCCGGCCCGTCGTACGTCCAGCGGACATCGTGATGATAAGGGATAGCCGATTTGTACCCTAAGTGCCAAGTACACGGTGATGAGCTTGTCGCTAGGCATTAGAGAGGCCACAGCAATCATGGATAGCTGCGGACCTTTTACTAACAGCCCTGGTGCTACGTACAAGCACTGCATTAGTTCTTCTGCTGCCTCCATTCCTCTCGCTGCCCTATAGTGCACTCTGTAGCCAGCTGGGCTTTATAAACAGGGAGAAGCTAAAGGAAAAGAAGCACGCACGGATTGGGTGTGGTCGCGCACAGTGGGACGTAGTGTTACCAGAGACAGCCTAGGCATCACACAGGTGCTAGACAAAGACCTAGAGTAGAGAGGACCAAGAACAAAGGATGTTGTGTGCTACGATGGCATTAGCTTGAAGAAGGGAAGTGCCGCCAGATGCGGGGCGGAGTAGCTATAAATTTCTAGCGCGATGGGGCGCTGCCTGCTTACCGTGCTTATAGCGTCTGGCGTCTTGCAGACGGCGACGGCAAAGAGGAAAACGCAAGGAAGCACACATCGTAATTTTCCGAAAAGTTTCTTATTTCCAGTGTTCGCTTTCCTCCGCCGTACGATCAACAGCGGCAGCTATTTTTACCGGCCTGCGCTGGTAACTAGGACACCTTTTTCTGAAGGGTTATCAAGCAGCAGTATGGAGCCTTGCGGCGGGTCCATCATTGGCCAGACGAACCACAAAAGTTATGGGTGGCCATAGGGAACCATCTATAGGGAAAAGAAACGTCTGCGGGTAAAGATCTGAGAAAGCGACAGGTTGGCTACCCACAGTGGCTGAAAAGCAACGCTTTGATCTTTACGGGATCTTTAAACTTTATTCGTGTTTTGTGAGCGGTACCTACACTAGGTATTACTTCAGATAGTTGGCTTCCAGCACGAGACTGTGTCCATGCGCGAATTTGCACCTGGACCACCACGTATTCTTAAGTTTAGCAGACAAAAACACGTTATCCACGACGCTGCCAGGGAGATGTTGATAACCCTGAAAAAGCAATTAACCCATCTTAAACAATTCCAAAATTTAAAACAAAAAAGTAGTCTTCACGCGCATATGGTTAATTAGGTAATTCAGATAATAATTAAATTAGGTAATTCAGATCAAGTTAGAATATAAAACCCAGGGTTGATATGTTGTCAGTGTCTGATTAACGACCTTATCCTTGACAGTGATAGTGATAAGGCTTGCTTCCGATCGAATCTGGGGCACCGATCAAACCACAGGGTCCCAAGACGTTTTAATTGTCCGCTCTTGCTTGATTGAAAAATGCAAAAATGAGAAAGCAGAAGTCACCGGTTAGATCACCGAAAGAGGCAAGCCATCCTATTTGCAGTAAGCTGGACAACTGTGGCGTCAGTGCGCAGTCGCAAGGACTTCGGTGGTCGAAAGCAGCGCGCGAGACCGTTAGCACACTCAGTTACAAAAGACGTAGGCAAACTCGGAGTAAGCGAAAACTGTAAGGACACAACATGAATAATAGCGATGGCCGAATGCTAGAGCCAAGAAAATACGTTATTAAAAAATATATATCAAAATTATACAAAATATATATAAAAATTATACAAAAATAGCTATTACTTTAAACGCAACTAGACTACACAAAGCCCAAGCCGGTAGTTGATATGTTATCATTATAGGCCAGGAGACTGGTAGCATATCGACTAGTGGCTAGGGCTATTTTACTTTGCCTGTACTGGAAGAAAAAGGCCAGACTCACAACCTCGAGGCTTCGGGGTCGATTTCCGACCAGGACTAATAAATTGTTTGATTTAACCGTATCGGCATATAGGCCTGTTTAAAAGACTTTTGCTGATAAAGAATATAAAGCAGTAAAGAAAATTGAAAATGAAGTTTACGCGGCTTGATCCAGTTCATCTGGTATCGTGTTCATTCGTGTTCATTCATCGTGTTGTGTTAGGTTTATCTTAAAATGTAACTCACTAGGCAAGGAAGTTAACTCTAAACACCAGGGGTATAGACGTAGAAGCTAGAAACGCGTGTTAATAAAATGTGTTTTGATCTAAATATACCCGGTATCACTAGGTCTCTTCTTCTGCGTTGCTTCACCTTCTAAATAATTTTCGTAAATTGTTCCGCTTGTTCCCTTATTATTTATTCCCGTATTTTTTTCTGTTAGATCTCTTATGATTGTCGTAAATAGTAGAGCCTAGTGTATCAACCCGTTACCAATTTTCTTTCTCCTATAACGTCGCCTGCCTTAACATGTGCACCTAATTGAATGCTTCTCTAGGGATCCAAGTAGAGGAAGGGACGATGGACTCAACGATGACGAAGAAGCTCCCAGATCGTGAAAATTCGACGGTATATAATTGTGCTGTACGCGCCGTTATTACCAGTTACCAATTGCAGTTTGCGTGCCGCTCCTCGATCTCTTTTTGGTCGGAAAAGTACGCTTCCTACTCGCACGTTTACCCTCGCTGATGCTACTTATCGCTCACTCGCTGTTTTTCCTCTTTAACTCCCTCATGTGCTCAAACAAATTACCCAATTCGCATTTGAATGGAATGCGAAACTGAGAACGTCCGCTTCGGCCAGGGCAAAGCCAGGACAGCAGAGTGGGGCGTAGTGCACGAAATACAAGGCGATTGTATGCAGACAGTATCAAATCATGTGGAGAAAAAAAAAGAAACCAGGAGTAGGATATAGAGGTCCGAAGTGTTTCTATGCCCTCGCAGGCACACCCGCCCTAGGAGAAGACGACAATCCGGAATAAGGCACGCGATGGTGATAAATTGTCCTAGCACTAGCTGTAATGGCAGTGGCAGTAGTAGAACTGTAATAAAACGCTGAAGTACGTGGTTAGGAAAACAAAGAGGGGTCGACCAAAGCGTCTTCTCTTAGGGAGTTAAAATGCAAATCTAGGTTCGGAGAAACTGAAAAAGATAGAAGCAAGGAGTTGGAATAACCTGGGTGCGGCCACTGAAAAT